GCGACCCTCAGATTGTGAGTCGAGCGCCTTATCCACCTGGCCATGCCGGGCACTAACTCAATAAGAACGACAGCAAATACAGATTCAAATACTTCACGAAAACACACCAGTTGACTTATTCAACTCTCTACCTTAGAAAAACTCTACATTATTTTAATTATATCCTCGAGTATCTTTCAACATATTGTACTATCGTCTTGAAAAATTCACTTTCTAACTAACCAAACGACGATTCACGGAACGTTGTATTTAAAATTTCCCTAGTTGTACGCATTTCTAGGACTTTCTCATTCTTAACGTCATACGCCCTCAAACTAACATCAAAAGTAAACAAATTACAACATTATAAACACAGCTTATAACAATAACATCAAAATTAAACAAATTACAACATTATAAACACAGCTTATAACAATAACATCAAAATTAAACAAATTACAACATTATAAACATAGCTTATAACAATAACATCAAAATTAAATAAATTACAACATTATAAACGTAGCTTATAACAATAACATCATGATTTCACGTAATATCAGCATCTTAAAGTACAAATGGATTATAACAGAAATAAAATATGTTGATTTGCCCCTCTCTTCTATCTGAGGCTTAAAGAAACATGGATTATAGCAGACATAAAGTCTGCTGGTTTAGTCCTTACTTTTAACTTAGTCTTAATTACAAACATTGTAGTTTCACAATTTAGTACACACATATAGCTGGACAGTAAATTAAGAGGAAACGCTTTACGTTGGAGTTAAAGCAACGACAAGGAATGAACACCTTACGTTGAATTTAAAACAGCTACAAGGAAGAAATATTTACATTGAAGTTAAAACAACTACAAGGAATAAACGCCTTACATTGGAGTTAAAACAGCTACAAGGAATAAAAGCTTTACGTTGGAGTTAAAAGAGCTACAAGGAATAAACATTTTACGTTGGAGTTGAAACAGCTACAAGGAAGAAAGATTTTACATTGAAGTCAAAACAGCTACAAGGAATAAAAACTTTACGTTGGAGTTAAAACAGCTATAAGGAATAAAAGCTTTACGTTGGAGTTAAAACAGCTATAAGGAATAAAAGCTTTACGTTGGAGTTAAAACAGCTACAAGGAATAAACATTTTACGTTGGAGTTGGAACAACTACAAGGAATAAACTCTTTATGTTGGAGTTAAAAACAACTACGTACTAGTAATAAACAATTTGCGTTGGAGTTAACAACAACTACGTACTAGAAAGAAACGCTTTGCGTTTCAGTTAAAAACAACTAAGTACTAGGAAGAAACGCTTTACGTCAGAGCAGCATTACTCAAACCATGAGTTGCGATCCAATATTGGGTCGTCAAAATTTGTAAAAGGATCGCGAAGACTTTGAAAGTAGGTAATATTTTTTTAATAAGTATTTAGTAACCTAGCTGTTTACTGAAGCTATTCACACCTATTCGGAAGAAACGCATTACGTTAGAATTAAAAAAACAAACTAGGAAGAAACGCGTTAAGTTAGAGTTAAAACAACAAACTAGGAAAAAACGCTTTATGTTAGAGTTAGAACAACAAACTAGGAAGAAACGCTTTCTGTTAGAGTTAGAACAATAAATTAGGAAGAAACGCTTTCTGTTAGAGTTAGAACAACAAACTAGGAAGAAACGCTTTCTGTTAGAATTAGAACAACAAACTTGGAAGAAACGCTTTCTGTTAGAGTTAGAACAACAAACTAGGAAGAAACGCTTTCTGTTAGTGCTAGAACAACAAACTAGGAAGAAATGCTTTATGTTAGAGTTAGAACAACAAACTAGGAAGAAACGCTTTATGTTAGAGTTAGAACAACAAACTAGGAAGAAACGCTTTCTGTTAGTGTTAGAACAACAAACTAGGAAGAAACGCTTTCTGTTAGAGTTAAAACAACACACTAGGAAGAAACGCTTTATGTTAGAGTTAAAACAATGGACTATTTGTGCTGTGCTCACCACTGGTATCTAAACTTACTTTGTAGTGTTATAAGTCGTTAGACTTATTGCTGAGCCACTGGGGGGGGGGGGGTTAGGTCGTTTATTATCTGATGTTAATACAGCCTGAGATGCGTGATGAACCACCCCATCACAGCTTACCAGTTTCAGTGGGAGATTTGCTTGATTTATTGGCATATATTCAATAACCGTATAAATAACCACCGAGACAATGAGAGAATCAGTAACAATACATGATTAGGAAGTCGAACTCAGACACATTCGGTCAATTTTTCATACGATATAAGTTAGTTTTACTGATATATGTATAGATTAAAAAATACGAAACTGCAACTAGAAATTACGAGCAATGACTCGAAGTTTTAAAATAATTTTATAAAAACGCGAATTGATAGAACTTCACTTATTCACACAGGATTCTATATAGCACCTTCTTCATTTCAACACGTGTGTTGGATATACAAGACTGTTTAGTGTAAGAGTTATTACTTAGTTCATTTAGTGATCTAATATTTAATGATTATTTAGTTTTCATAACAAGAATGTTAAAGTTAATTACTTCAAAAACGATAGCTATAACAAATTTCATTGTGTAACTAGGTAGGAGTGGTACATTGTGTGTATAGTTCAATTGCTCCCAGTGGAACAGCGATATGCCTGCAGACTTACAATGCTAGAATCCTGGTTTCGATAACTGTGGTGGGCAGAGTACAGATAGCCCATTGTGCTGCTTTGTGCTTAATTTCAAACAAACAAAAGTAGTTTAATTGTTGTAAATTGACGTCACATTACTAGAACTTTCTGTAATTTTTTCTTTGTTTTAAGTGAGTATTGTTACATCATAGCGTCTTGTAGTTTGTAGAAAGTTCTATGCCTCATTTGGACAATATATATATATATATGGGCGACCGACCAAGTGAGTGCAAATTACGTTAAGTTAAAGAAAGTGAAGTTAGATTGCGTGATTGTTAGTTTAGCTGTAATGGACAATATTTAAAGTGAGATTAACAGTTAACAGAGATAAGGAGAAATAATTCGTCTTGTCAAAGGGTGTTCTAAAGTAATTGAACCCGCCTGTGTAGATTTTAACGAAAGGAAGACAATTATTTAAAGTTCTGGATACAACTGTGGTAAGAATGTAGTAAGAAACAGAGTAGAGAAAAATAATTCATCTTGTCAAGTGGGATCTAAAGTAAGTGAACCAGCCTTTGTGGACTTTTGACAAGAAAAGAGAGTTATTTAGAATTTTAGATACAACTGTGATATTTTATAGTGTAAAAATATTTTGTTAATATACGTTTGAATTGTCTTAAATATATTATTTTAAAACAAGTAGCTTGTGTGCTGTCCGTTTATTGTTTGTATCTAATACCAACAAGTCACAGACACCTACTGTAAAAGAATCCCAGTCTATATACAGAAACCTTTGACAATGGACATTCTGTAAGAGTTAACTCATGTTTTTGTTTTATATTTTATATCATTATTGTCTTGAATATGACGATGATGAATAAAATAATATCAGTTGTGATCGAATGATGAGAATTCTCCCATGCTTCTTATATTGCCTTCATCATTGTATTTCATACTCTAGATCATTACTGCCATGATGATGATGATGATAAGTAAGTTAGGGTCGGCCAAGATCGATGCTCGGAAAGGCGATAATTTGGCTGCAGCCACTGGTTACAATGGGGGAGGTGGTTCCGGAGCAGTAAGGACCCAATTTCACGAACAAGTAAGTATACTTCTTTTGTTATTATTGTCGTTACCAAAAGTTAGAGTCTTTATTACATTGGATGCGCTTCACTGATGTTCAACCGAAACAAATCAAAGTGTCTTCAGCAATTCATGAACCTGCAAGATTAAAACAGTCTTTATTTTACAGTAATTAGATTTCTTTAATCTCCAGCAATCTTTCCTACTTCCCTAACCAGGTGATTTCAGTCTTTCCTACTTCACTAACACGATGATTGCAATCTGTCCTATTTCCTTAACCCAATGCTTGCAACATATTTTACTTTGCTAACCCAGTGATTGCAATATTTCTACTCTACAAACCTGGTGATTGCAATATTTCGACTCTACAAACCTGGTGATTGCAATCTTTCTACTCTACAAACCTGGTGATTGCAATCTTTCTACTCTACAAACCCAGTGATTGCAATCTTTCTACTCTACAAACCCGGTGATTGCAATCTTTCGACTCTACAAACCTGGTGATTGCAATCTTTCTACTCTACAAACCCAGTGATTGCAATCTTTCTACTCTACAAACCCAGTAGAAAGATTGCAATCACCCTACAAACCCGGTGATTGCAATCTTTCTACTCTACAAACCCTGGTGATTGCAATCTTTCTACTCTACAAACCTGGTGATTGCAATCTTTCTACTCTACAAACCTGGTGATTGCAATCTTTCTACTCTACAAACCTGGTGATTGCAATCTTTCTACTCTACAAACCTGGTGATTGCAGTCTTTCTACTCTACAAACCCAGTGATTGCAATCTTTCTACTCTACAAACCTGGTGATTGCAATCTTTCTACTCTACAAACCTGGTGATTGCAGTCTTTCCTACTCCTCTAATCACGTGATTGTAGCATTTCCTGCTTTACAGAATGTTTACAAATGTCCTACTTTGCTAATCCAGTTATTGCAATCTTTCACACTCCATCAACCTGGTAATTACAATCTTTTTCACTCTGATAAACTAGTGATTGCCATCTTTCCTACTCTGCTAACTTTATTATTTTAATCTTTTCTAATTTCTCATTCTAGTAACCTGGTGATTGCAGTCTTTCCTACCTACTAACTTTCGCTACACGCACTTTAGGTCACTAGAGAGATCAACAAAGATATCACTCGAATATCCTGTATTTGCTTGTGGGACTTCTATGTAAGCAAATAATAGTGCCTGCAGGTACCTGTCCCAGTCACGTGGTCTCTCCTGGCACATATGCATGCTCTTTAAGACTCCGTTGACCCTCTCACAAAATCCATTAAAAGTGTTGCCTAGTACTGATGAGTCTGCACACCTCTTGCATCAGTTCTGAGGTAAATTGGGTCCCTCTGTCCCTCAAGACTTTTTTTGGTAAGCTTACTCCACAGAACACTTGCAGTAGGGCTTCTGCTACTCTCCCCTTCTTTATCTTCCACAGTACTATGGCTTCTGGATCTTATAGTTGACTACTGTCAGCACATACTGGTTGCCCTTGTCAGATACAGGTGTTAGTAGTCTGATCAAGTCCATAGCTACTCTACTGAATGACTCTTCTATGAGAGGCATCTCACCAAGTGGCACCTTAGATACCTTCCCTCTAGGTAGTGACATTTGGCAGATGTTGCTTGACTTTCAGAATCTGGTTACATCTCCGATAACACCTTGCCAATAGAAGTTGCTGGTGATTCTGTCTGCCATTTTCTTTGCTACTACATGTTCTCCCACAATCGACTTTTGAGCCAACTTCATCACTTAAGTCCAGTATTCTGTTGGTACTATGATCTGTTTCACTTCCTCGGTATAACTGCTTTAATAGATCTGGTACAACACTCCCTTCCAGTCCTTTATTCTATAATTTATTTTCTCCTTTGTCTTGTACTCGACTTTCTCCCAGGCATTGTCCCAAAGTTTCTGCAGTGAAGGGTCACCGTTAGAGACCTGTAGGAGCTTGATGTCTTGTTTGCTTTTCTTTTCTTGAGCTCTTGTGGTGACTGCAGATGGCTCATCAGTCTCATTTCTATCTGGTCCCTACAAACTTCTACTGCCTTGTATATTGTCAATCACCTAGTCATATATGGGTGCCTTCATACACATGTCCCCAAAGTCTCCCATGTAATATGGAGTATTTACCTTTATTCTTGCTATGGGAAACTTTCTCACTGTCCCATCAATAAGCACACACACACACACATACCTTGCCTGATATCTGGCCATCAGATAATAGATTAGTTCTCACTTCTGCACCCATTGTCTCGTAGGGCTTTCACTTTCTTGTCCCCAACGTAGTCTTCATCTACTGACATGTTATCGGTTTTTCACACCTTTTGATGTTTGTCACATGCTCCAATAACTACTGGCACTGTTGACCCATTTACTAACTTGAGCTGACCATCAATCATGCACTGTTTAATCATGATGATAGAACTTCCTTCTTGTAGTGAATCTGACCAGTTGTCTTTATTCTGTTTCTTTTGGCAGCAGCATCATCCATGGTGACAGTCACTCTTTTCTTGTTTCTTACCAGAACCATATTTATAGGTAGCTCCAGCTGCTTTATGTTGAGATTTCTGCAGTTGTTTGTTGGTGACAGACTTGCACTCACCGGAAATGTGCCCCATTTTATAACAAGCATAACATATCTTCTTCCTTTTGTCTGTTGACTTCTTGTCATCTTTGGTGGTATCCTGTTTCTGTTTTCAACTTTAATTGGTTATTCTTGGACTTGCCAGTTATACTCCCTCCACGGGCTTCCATATACTGTTTTGCCAGCTTGATCATCTCGTCCAGATCTTTGATGCTCTCTCTCTTTTAGGAACAGTTCATTTCAGTGGAGAATGTAATAGTAGATTTGCCAGTTCTCAAAACTATCTTCACACTTAGCTATGTCAGTTCACCTTGAGTGTATAACTGTAGTCATGCCACAAACCAAAATACAGTTTCTCCAATATTAGGTTTCACTTCTCTGAACTTCCAGCAAAAACCTTACTCAAAAAGTTCATAATGTTTCAGCAAGGCCACTTTTAATTTGTTATAGTCCACGCCAACGTCATGCCCACATATGCTGTAGGCCTTTTCATGTGAGAAGGGGACTGAGACAGACTGCCAAGTTGCCTTTGTCCCAGTTCTGATTTCGGGCAGATCTTTCATACATGTCTTTCTGTTCATTAAATTTGAGCAGCTTGGGTCAACTGTTCCTGACCCTATTGTCATTCTTTCTGTTGGGTGAGCTCGGTGATCTCAATTTGTGCTCTTTTTCTAGTCTCTCCTCTCTCCTTTTTCTGTTTCTCAATTACTGACCTCGTTCTTTTTTTCTGCCTTCTCTGCCTCTTCTTCTCTCCCTTCTGTTGATTTTTTCTCTCTCTCTAGGTATTGTTGTTGTTTAAGAAATTCTCATAGATCACCATTTTTGAGCCCAAGTCGCTGCCACCTCTATCCACTTATCAAAAACACTCTACATTGTTATATAGTGTGGCCGTGATCCCTACAATAATTTTGCCACCACTGCAGCTATGTTTATATAAGACTATTTTGCCACTGTTATTTACGCTTACTTCTATTACCATTTACCACTGGAGATCTTGGCTAGTTTGCCACAGTCAGATTTTCTGTATAGGATGAATTCTTTACAGTACTTGCCTGTGACTTTTTAACGAAACATTTGAACAATAAACAAACAACATATAACCCACTTGCTTGAAATAATGTATTAAAAAAGTCAAACGTCTATGCAAATGCTTATTACACTGTTGGTTATCATAGTTGTATTCAGAGCTTGAAATAACTGTCTGTTTTTCAAAGTCCACACAGGCTGGCTCAGTTACTTTAGAACACAATTGACAAGACAAATTATTTCTTCTCTACTCTGATATTACAATACAATCTGTCATAATTTCAATTTAAAAAATTGTCACTATACGCTCTTTATGGCTAAACTCAAAATCACACAGTATAGATCTATCTTTCGAACTACATTTTTGGCGCGTATGTATAACCCAACAGAGGTCTAGAATGTTTCACACACTACTAGATATTATGACGCAATAATACAACAATCACTAATTCATAACTACTGAACTACAAAAAAAAATTGCAAAAAGTTACCAAAACAAATCTGCAACAAACTAATGCTTTTAAAAATAACTAAATTTAATACTCGCACTATATAACTATCTAAATCATAACTCCTGCATTAAACTTAAACGGAAACAGTCGTGTACATCTAACACTACCTTAAGAATAATATACTGTTACGACAGCGGAAGTCACGTGACGCTGGTAACACGTGATGAGTGTCTAGAAGATTCGCGAAGTGGCTAGTACGTGCTACACGCGCGCTTTTATTGTATATAAGCATGCCAGAAGAAGGAGACTTGCATTCAGAATTGCAGACAGACAGAGACGGACAATTGAGTTAAGTGCGGTAGTGACCGTAAGTACAGTGCGTGAATCGTTGTGAATTCTAGCATGTGTTGAAGTTAAAGTAACTGTGGAAATTAAGTGTATTGCAAAGTTGAGTTGAGAAAGGAATAAACTAGTTTGATCTAAGAAAGGACTTGTATCGCTGAAGTTTCTCGGAAAGAATTTTTACGACAAATTAACAAACGAACACACAGACGTAACAAATTGGTGTCAGAAGCGGGATAGAAAAAAAAAGATGGAAACGAGAGGAGGCAAATCAAACTACAGCTTAGCAGATTTGATGGCAGCAATACAAGAACAGCAAAAAAACCAAGAAGAATGAGAAAAGAAACAAGAAAAGAGATAACAGCAGTTGTTGGAAGAAAAAGAAAATAAACAAGAAGAACGAGAAAAGAAACAAGAAGAGAGATTACAGCAGTTGTTGGAGGAAAAAGAAAAGAAACAAGAAGAGAGACAACAGCAGTGGTAAGAAAACCTGCAACACTGGCAGCTCGAACAGCAAAATAAACAAGAGAGACTACAGCAGTGGTTGGAGGAGAAAGAAAAGAAACAAGAAGAGAGACAACAGCAGTGGCAAGAAAACCTGCAACACTGGCAGCTCGAACA